ATAAGGCGCTTCATAGAGCGGGGAGGCGCGAAGCGCAGATGTTACACCGATAGCGCGACTTTGTTAGTACAGTACGTCAAAGTCATCAGAGATGCGTAAGTCAATAGTGGAGGCAAAAAGTCCGCACTGGAAGCACAATTGGATGCGACTTGTGTCAAACCAACAAAGTCGCTAGGTAGAGAGTCTTACACCTAAGCACCGAAATCTCGAGGCCCGGTAGGTCTTTTGACAGGTTCAAGGACTGAATACATTGACTGAACTACTAAGTATCGTATGGAGAGATCCCTATACTAATACTACGGCAGTGTCCATTCCTCCGATCTTACTGAGTGAGCACGTGCAAGCTGCACATGACTCACTCCACAAATTCGTACTGGCCTCTAGGCTTCCAACGCCCCCTTCAACATTTTCGGCCTGTGGTTAGTTCTGTGCTAATACTAGAAAATTGGACGGCAAACTAGGATTGCTGGGGCACATACTTCATTTTCGGGGCAAAAAAGCCGTCAAGCTTTTTAAGACGTTTAACTTGTATAGATAATGATTCACAGAATTCGAGAGTCTTATTGGACAGTTTCCCTTGTATCGAAGAAATATCTAGAAGGCTTGGCAGCTTTTTTGCCCCGAAGATGAAGTAAATTTGTTGTATACCTACAAATTGAGATCCCTTGAGGTTTAGGGGTACCCGTATTCCCTATGTACCCGCACTTCGAGAGGTACATTGACTTCAAGGGTACCAAGTTTACCTTTGTGCTTACATTCCGAGAGGCGCCTTGGCTTCGTGGATATCGACTTTTTCTCTGTGTCTACAATTTGGAAGATACCTTCTTGCTCGAGGCAACAAGGGGATTGCAGCCAAGGGTCTTGAAACCAAGGGTCTGTAGGGATTCGAGGTACTGACTTAAGATTTTTCATCCAATAGAATGCCCTCGACCACCCCAGCTGTATTCTCCTAGGTAATAGGTTAGGTGCAGCAACTCAAGAGTCTCACGTTGTAGAGTTGAGTAGCCTTTCGAGGATGTCCGTAGCATTCTGCAGAATATCATCCGCAATACTAGAAGTATTAATGAGTGTTGGATGTAGAGAAAGGTGTATATCAACCTTTTAGTTGCAAAATTTAAGTCTCTTCGCCAATGTACGATACCGTATCCTGGTTATTGGCAATTTCAAATAGAATCTCGTGATTCGTATGCTGTCGAACGCTTCAAGTCATCGAACTGCCCTATCAAGCTTTTGATCAGCGGGGCTAGTCCCCTTTGAATGCGCAACCGAGAGCTTGGATTAGCGACCCAATGCCGAACGTTGCAAGCCGCGTAAAAACGCCACAGCAAGGAACGGAATCCTACCTTTTCAAAAACGAGAATATCCCAATCTCATGCAACCACTCGGAGCGAGTGATAACTCATGTTTCTCAAGCCACATTAGATTAGCAGACGTTGGTAACTGTCCACGAGAGGGATCTGACAGGGAGGTTGTGCGATAAAATGGTGTAATTCAGGTCCTGTCATACAGAAGATACGAGCCTCCTTGCAGGTGGGTGCTACGGGAAATTCACCACAAAAGCTGAAGTGCAACTTAACCTCAACGACAATTCTCCTTCTGCTTGAACAAGGCTGTGGTTGTGCTCATAGAGAGGGACAGCCTTCAAACTTTCCACGATGATTCTGCGATTCATTCTAATCCTGCTCCTTGAAGCCCTCTCCATCTTCGCCGCTCCTTGGGTAGTAACGAGCTACGTCGAAGTCGACATTTCCGTATATTCTGGATACACGAACACTGGCATCGGGACTATTTCAGGACAAACGTATTCGGGAAGAACAACAAGCACCACCAGGTTCGTCAGTCCGACAGGGACTACAGCGCCTTCTGGGCTCACCACATTAACAACAACGAACCAATATTATTCGGATGTGACTGTTGTCGAGATAGTTCTCCCCTCGGGATCTGGCTCTACCGTCTTCGCGAGCTTTGGGGGCGACGAAAGCGCGGTGACTGAGTTCTACGTACCCGTCACGTATGAACCTTTCACGACTTGCAAAAGCAAATGGAAATTCGCGACAGAGGTACCGATCGATGTCCCAACGCCAGTCCAACCGCACCTCACACCACTCGCTGTCTCGACATTGATAAGTAACTACTCGGTGTCCGAAACTTCAACGACATTCACCAACTATTATACTACCGTCTCCGCGCTGTTGAATCCAACGGATGTGCCAGATGATGCATATAAATCTGCGTCCTCTGAATACCAACCTGACGGTGTCTCACTGTGTGTGAGTCCGACGACGACGGCTATCGAGAATACTGCGACCGAGACAGTCTCTTCGGAAGGGATAAGCTGCGGAAAGGACAATCCAACGTGCGAGGGATGCGATTACTATATTGCGACCTGGTAAGCTAGTTTTGTTGCTCCCCAGAATGCAGAAGTTAACTTTTACAGTATCGGAGATGCTTGCGGGCCAGCGGATTCAGGTACTTACTATGATTGTCCCGATGGCAAGAAGTACTGGATTACTGGTGGGCCCGGGAGTAAAAGCTCGCAACTTGCCTGGGAGATTGCTGTGCCTATTGGGATCTTCGTCGTTTTTACAGCGCTTTGTATTTGGCAAGCAAAGAGACATCCTAAAAAGTTGTCTCAGCAACCTGTGCGGATCAATCTTCGACGAAGAGTGCAGCAAAATTAGCAGGCCTACTGGGCAAGAATAGGACAAGGTACGAGGCCACACCTAAACCAGGGTTTGATATCAGAAGAGAACACTTGTGGCGGATTTGGAGCTTCCTTACCCATTCGTCAAATGCACAAACCTGGCACGTGACAAGAATCGCATTTTGATCCCTCAACTTTCTTCATACACTCGTGACGTAGAACTGTTAAGGCGTAGGATAACATGCTGGCGATATTTTAACCTTTGGACGATAGCCTTGGAAACCGACAGCTTGTAATGTCCAATTCACCTCCTGCAGCGCGCTGGTCCGATTGATTCCCGCAGAAAAGTTCCGAATTTTGCACCAAGAAGGACATAAATCAACAGCAAGAACACGGCAAGGACACTGACCTCAGAAATTCTGCAGATTATCAAGATGAATGCGCAATTGTTCCTCGCTTTCCTGGTAGTGGCCTCGATGTTGTTGAAGGCTGGGAAGGCATTCACAAAAATCTTCGACGCCACTGATTGGTTCCTCGCCAGCGCTCCCCGCCAAAAAGTTCCCAGCCTCGCGCCAAATTCCGGCCGGCAGAAAATATTTCTCGAAGCTCCTCGACCTTGCGAAACTCCCACACAGCAAAGACCAATTCTCACGTTCGCATTCTCCATCTACTCTGCCATCATGGGGAAAGGCAGAGGAAAGAAGTCTCGTGTAGAAAACCCGAAAAAGAAAAAGGAGCCAAAGATCAAGGGCCTCCCAAAGCCGAATCCAACGAAAATCGCAAACAAGCTCGCACACAAGAAGAAGAAAGCCGCGCGGCTCGAAGAGCTCAAGGAAGCTATCCGCAGAGATCCCAGTCTTATCAAACCGTTTGCAACCCCAATGCAGCGGACTGCGCCGTTTATGAAGAATCCGAATGCTGCGAAATGGCCAGCGTTGTTTAAGAGACAGTTGGGATTGATTGAGATGCATATCGACAGCTTGACACGGATCATGAATGCGATGAGGAACGATGGCGATTCTATGAGTGCGGAGGACAAGCTGGATTGGGAGCTTGGAGAGAGAGGGAATTGGAGGGCGATTTGTGGGATGATGGATAGGGCGAGACTGGTTCTGTCGCAAACCAAGGAGGCTGCGCAGGGCGTTGTAAGTTTTGCATTCCTATGGTAGAGGATCATTTGAGGCTAATTATGTATCTGAAGCTCCCCGAAGACCGATTGCGCGACAAGAAGAAGCTTGGAGTCGTGGGCACCGAATTCGAACCTCTTGTACCGAAGCTCGACGAGAAAGCTAGGGCGATGGGATACGACCCGAAAGGCAAGGGAGCACTAGGAAGAAGTATGGACTTCTTAGACCAAGATGGCAAGTCCTTGGATCAGGATGGCGATACCGATATGTCAGATGCGTCTGATTCCTCCTCAGATGAGTCAGACTCTGATGATGGTGTCACTGGGGGAGTAGATTTCATCAGCCTGGATATTGGCAGCAGGAAGAAGGCGAAAAAGGATACTGCAAATGTGGTTACAAATGAGACCCCGAGCACCACTGAACCAAATACCTTCTTCGTCGTCGATACAGAACCCACACCAGTCAATATCAGTGCTATTAATCATGCCCCTCCTGCCAACGACGGCCTCTCGAACAGAAAACGGAAGCAGATGGAGAAGGACGAAGCAGCCGCAGCGAGGTTAGCAAAGAGGATGGCAAAGAAGGCTGCATATGAAGCCGAAAAAGCTGCTGCCGCACAAGGCAACGAAGAAGCTGCGAAAGAGCCTTCGAGTCCAGGAGTTGACTTCAGAGAACTTGAGGCCAAGTTACAGGCTGAGATAGACAATGGCACGAAGGCACAGCAGGAGGAAGAGGCTCAAGAGGCTGCGGCTGCGGCGAAGACGGCCAAGAAGAAGCGGAGACGAAGCAGTGAAGGTGGTGAGGAGGTTGTGAAGAAAGCGAAGAAGGACAAGAACGAGCCAGAGAAGAAGGATAAGAAAGAGAAGAAGAAGCGGAAAGCCGACGATGCGGATAAAGAGGATAGTGACAAGAAGAAACAGAGGAAGCACAGAGACTCAGACTCGGAATGAGGAGTGGACGATTGGGGTGGCACGATATTTTGGACCGCATTACTTTGGAGTTGATGATATCACGAGATCTCATTTGTTTGGGCTGAGCTGGATAGCGTAGCATTGCTGGAGTACAAAATACACAGTGAAGTCAAACGTACCAAGATTTGAAGACTCACTGACACCAATTTCAGTGACTCACACGGGGAGAGGAACTGAGTGGAGCATCCTCTCGCTTATGACAGCACGAATACTCTTATAGATTTGAATAAGAAGTTTTTGGGGAACTGAAACTCAAACGGCCACATGGTGTAATGGCTCAGCACGTCGGATTCTGATTTTCGTAAGAAGATAGTTCCGGAGATCTTGGTTCGATTCCTAGTGAGGCCTGACTTTTTTTTTTTTTGGAATGTCTAGCCTAACGGCTTTTTTGCTCCACTAGTTCCTGACTTTGTCACTCAGAATGGTCGTGCATGAATGGAGATATCTTTTTATCTTCTTACCGGAACTTCTTTGATACTTTAGTCGATCTTCTGATATCTTACAGTAATATAGTACAAGTCCCGTCCCTACGATGAATATGCAGCCCAATATCATGCCCAAGCCTAGGTCGCTTGTACCCCAGATATCTTCGGCAGAAGCTGCATCCGATTTCGAATCGAGTATAAGTTTGAGTTGTGGTCGGTCGAACAACGGGGATTTCCTCCCAGCCCCCCCCCTTCCCAGTTACCCTTTCTTCTCCTCAGATTTCTTCTCGGCTTTCTTCTCCGCTACAGCCTTCTCATCAATCTCCTTGACCTCCTCATTCTTATCCTTCCCCCAATTCCACACCTCCCAAATCTGATCCATAATCAACCCACCATACCCCCTCCCCTCCTCCAACGCCTCCTTCTCTCTCTGATCCCTCTTAGCCTTCCAGTCCTCCCCCTCCTGCCCCATCCAAAGCTTCTCCAGTATTCCCCTCTCCTCCCTCTCCTTCTCCTCCTGCACCCTCTTCTTCTCTACTTCCGCTAACACACCCCTTAATTCACCAGCCTTAACCTCCTTCCCCTCCTTCCCCTCTAAACTCTTCCCGAACCCATTCATCTGCCGATCCCTCCACTCCTTCTCCTCCTTCAACCTCTTCTGCATCTCTAACGCCTTAGGCGGTAACCCTGAATCTTCGAATGCATTCACGCGATTTTGTATCCGCTGTAGCATGGATACACCGGTCCATTCTTTACTGCAGTTGTTGGCGCCGTAGAATGTGCCGCCGAGGAGGGCAAGGGTATAAATGTCAAGTTTTCGTGGGGGGATGAGAATCACGATTGGGCAGACAAAGAGGGCGCCGTAGGAGACCCAGCGGAGGATGTCGTCGCGAGAGGGGGTGGGATTCGAGGTGGAGGGTGGTTTTTGGGGTGTTGCTGTCGCCATGCTTGGCAAATTAGAAGCTGATAATTCGGAAGGCGTTCACTGTGCTCGCATGCAGTGAAGAATACTGGTTCGTGAGGTGTCGTCGCGAGTTAATTGTTGTTCTGAGTACTGGCTAGAAGATCGTCAGATGAGAAGCTCAAGCTCAAAGATATCACCAAAAAGTTTACAGTGGATCACCGACGGGCCGACGTTTCCCCAGTGATCCTAGCAAGCTCCTGTCGCCTATCCCGCTAACCGTATAGATTTAAATAACAAAAATCTTAGTCATGTCGAGTTGCCAGAGTGGTTAATGGGTATGACTCGAACGTCTTCGGACTTATAGATATCATATGGTTTCGGCCGCGTAGGTTCAAATCCTGCACTCGACGTTATTTTGCTTATTGAGTTGGTGTTAGTCTTTTTTTTTTTTTTTGTTTCGGGTGGTGGTTGAAAATCTCTGGTGTGGTTTTGGCGGCAGGATTTGGTGCCACGTTGACGGGAGATTGCCGTAGGCGAGACGCTAAAAAGGAACCTCGACCTCTTCGCGACCTCCTTCACCCTCGTCCAACCTTTTACTTTCCTGTCGGAACCCGTCCGACTTCTGCGTGTAGCTTTTTGGGATCAGCTCTGTGCCTCTATCAGAAGACCTTTCTATCTTACACAGTTGTGGCTTGGGTACGATATCAAGTGGTTTGTTTATACAGAGTCTTAAGAGGCTGCAAGAACTTTCCATTTTCAACCTTTAACATTTAGTATATATACACGATCGCGGAGAGCCCAAAACTTGGATGATCTCGAAGTATCTACTGTCCATTACAACTAAACAATAAACAAAGAGCACAGTGGTTCTTGGGCTTATGATTTGTAATACAGATACTGGGTACACATCCGATCCGAAAACATTTACGTGGTCACACAGTGTCCCAAAGAGGCAAATCTTCCCTTGTGGTGTATCACGTGCCCGCTTCTGAGGAATTCTTATCCGGCGGCCGCTCCCCCTCCTCTGCCCCTCCTTTTCTTGCGAAATATCTCTCCCAAATTCCATCTTTTAATTCTCCGGAACTTTAGAACAACGTTTTCGGGTTCCTTCACTTCATACAGATACCTTTTCAGTTTTTCCACAAGTTCACCAAGTCTTTCTCCCCACTAGCGACTCAATACAATGGGTCTCATCACAGGCATCGCGCATGTGAATGTCACAGTCCCACCCGGAACTCTTGAACACGCAGCAGCATTCTATGGCGGTACCCTAGGACTAACACGAGCGCCCGTCCCACAACTTCAGAAGGACACTCTCGCATGGTATATCCTCCTCCTTCTCACCTCACTCTTGGACGTGACACAAGTTACAGAATCTGCACGTAACACAAAACTGACTCATCCCAGGTTCAACATCACACCAGGAGGACAACAAATCCACGTCTCATCTCACTCTACAGAGGGAACGACAACGAACGACTTCAAAGCGAGCAGACATCCGTGTTTTAAGGTGGGCTCGAGGGAGGAGTTGCAGGAGTTGAGGGAGAGGATTTGGAAGCATTTTGAGAGTAAGAGTGAGGGAGCTCCAAGCGAGACTGATAAACCTGGGGAGGAGGCTAGTGGTATGTTTGCTCATTGACGGTGATATAGATGAATGCTGACTGTTACAGGTGCAAAGGGAGTGGAGTATCCCACGAGGTTCTTCGCTCGAGACTATGCGGGGAACAGGTTGGAGTTCAGCCTGTGAGATGGATTGATATCAAGGCTTGTATCCACTGTGATACTTACGTATATGGACGACATCGTTGGATGCATCATTACTATACTACCAGCACGCTGGGGCATTTTAAATTCTCCCATATCAATCTCTACCACGAAGGATCTCGCTCCTATCCAAGCTCAGACTCCCACGGGTTTCATGTAACCCTCGCTCCATGTAAACTAAGTTCTGAAGAAGACTCCATTGCTCCTTCAAGCCAGTTTCCCAGTTCCAACTGTCTCTCGTCTCGTCAGTGACTAATGTGAGAAGATCTCTATTGTCAAAGGCAAGTGTAGGCGGCTGTTGAATATCTTTGGTAAGATTCTCAATGCGCCATGCAACTTCCTCTCTCTGGTCTCCGGAAAGATCAGACAATCTCTCATGATGATTACCCGAGCGCTTTTCGGCAGCTACTTTCCAGGCGAGATGGAGTCTATCGTATGCATGACAGGTACGGAGTTTCTCCCCTCGAGTGGCTGTCTTCCGGTGTGCTAGTCGATCCTTGAGGATTTGGTTCCGCTAGTGAGGTTTCAATCATTCGCATGGCGCGCTCGTTCGAAGATGCTGGCAATGGGATTGATGGCTCTGTAGCTGTCCCAAGTCAAGTTAGGGATGTTCTTGCGCATCGTGTATTGCACTGCAGCACGATCATGTGGAGCTGTCTATTGAACATTGAATCGATCTCGCTGTGGATGGGCCATAGTTGTTCCTCTTCAACGCCCCAGATATACAACCTTTGAAAGGAATGGTTCGGGTATTTGAGCTATTAGGTCTTCTATCACAGAACATAACTTCTTCCCTGCACAGAGACGATTCTAGAGCGTGCCAAAAACTACCAAAGGAGTAAGTGTTTCAGGGCGAATTGCACTACATTTAAAGGCGTCTAGCGGCCTCCTTTTTCATTTGAACAGCTCTGCAAGTTCTGGAATTAAAAGGACACCAAAGTAATTTTCATCACCCTTTTCAGGCCTAGAAGCGGGTAGAGTTTGAGGAATAGTATTTGAACAAGGAATGTTTTGTTGTTGGCACCTTCTTTGCATTGCACCAGTTACCTGCACCTTCTAGCACGGGTACAGTACGTCAAAGCTTGGAAAATGCTCTAAATACAGTGTAACAAACGAATGATGCTTCATGTGAGGTCCCTTTCATCGGGGGGTCTTCCTGGATGGAAACTTAAAGTAAGGTATATACTTGGGTTTCTCCTCTTCTCTCATCAGACCGAGTTCTCGTGAGAAAAAGTCATGGCATCAAGCGACGGCGATGAAGCCGAAGACCGATTCACAACCTTCCGGACCGATTCACAACCTTCTGGGCCGATCCATACCACCCGGATGCCAGTTCCTACGCTGCACACAAGGGCACTAGCTACGATTACGGCGGCGGATCAACTATGCACTTCGGTGGAACTCTCCTCATGAGAAGCGGACCTTACGGAAGTGGTACAGACATTAAAGCATTGAGAACAGCCAATCGAGCCGCTGATGCTGGGGAGCAAGATCGCTACAAAGCTGATCTAGAAATATAACTGTCCATACGCTCATGAACAGTCGTGGTTGGGTCAAATCAACTTGGGGAGAAAAGTTGCGAATTAATGTCCTCTACACGATGAAGTGCAAGGGGCAGTTGGAAGGGGTGCGCAAACTGGTTTCGACGTTCGAAAGTGAGATGGAAAGCGTTGAAGATCCCAGGAGGAACAGGAGGGCTTCTACATAGACGTCGGTTTGCTCGAGGAAATTCTGGTTTGGTAAAAAAAAAATCTCAATCAATTGCTTATCGATGAGATGGAGCAAGATTGGGCTTGGGAGGATGGTATAGAGGTACAAAAGGACGTTTAGAAGGAACAGCAGCCATGTGTGAGAGCTTCAGCTAGGAGGCAGAATATCTGGGAACTACCGAAAGTCTTTTCATGGCCAAGGCAATGAGATTAGAGTGGGACCTTGATTGTCCAGAGAGAATCTAGACTAGAGCTTCGGAAGTTGGCAAATCAGACCGTCACATCTGGCCTTGCGCCAGCGAATGGAGCTGCAAAACCATATCTCTTCCAGTCTAACACCATGTCGGGCTCCTATTCTGTGTTTGATCAGCAGAGTACGCATCCAAACATTCACATAACATACCGTGATCGGGCGGGAACGTGGCTCTCCTGTGTTTATAATATTTCTCTCCCAGATCCTTGCCATTCGGCTTCCGAAGCATAAGTGGCATACACCATCGCTCTTAGCTTATTAGCATTATTCAGTCCTGATCGATACGCTAGATGTGAGCCAAAGAACATAATGTCGCCTGCATCCTGTCAATTTCCATATCCACTATAGATAAGTGTTTCGCGGATGTTTACCAGGTTCGAGAGGAACAGCGACCCATCCATGAGTTGCTTCCCATCTAAGATGAATTTGACCCCTTCGCAAGGACTTGTTGTCCATCTTATGAAACTTAGGCATCACTTCTAGATAACCGTTCTCGAGCGTTGCTGCGTCGACGGCGAGATTTGCGGTCACGTGCTCGATTTCGCCGATGTGGTCGTATGCTGGAGCATCAAGGTGAGCTGTGAAGCCATTTCCTCTGATACGGAGTCAATAAGATGGATCTTGGGAGCTCGACGAAGGGAGTCCACATACCTTGCTGACTTGTAGTTGATCTGTCTTTGAAGAGAAGCATTGGCTAAGACGGAGATTAGCCGTGGAAGATTGTCCCATGTTGAGTTTGACACTTGCAGCTCCTGACAACTGCTTGAAAACGCCAGTAAAGTCATCGCTTCTCAAGAAAGCATTGAACTCTGGGTAATAGTCCACAAACTTCTCAGTCGTCATCAACTGTCTCTGGCCATTGACATTGATCTCATCTTAAGGCGTCCACTTCCCTTTTTCCTTGGGCCAAGATTGGACCTCGCCTGCCAATCGTTGAAAGTTTTTGGCGTCAATGAGACTATGCTCTGATGCTGGTACCAAGAGGAAGCCGTCGTCATAGTATTGGGTGACTTGGCTTGGTGTGAGAGCGAAGTCTATCTTACCTGATGAAAATGATGGTCGATGTTCTGATTCAGCAGCGGGAGCCAGTTCCCATATTGCCGAATTTATGGAAATACGGCAGAGCCCAAGCCACAATCAGACCTTAACAGAGCTCTCGGACTTCGCCCCAACGAGGGGTAGGGAGGGTTTCGTGCTTTCGACCAATCGCTGGCAGCCCCGATGGCACGCCAGAAGCATACGGTCAGCGTGCCGAATCTCAGGAAAATTTGGCACGAAGTGCGAGATAGCAGGCATCAATCATCGATATAGAACTCACGTCGAAGCTTCCTTAGCCCATCAAACTTCACAATATTCACCGAAATGCTGCCATCAGTTGTTCAGCGCGCGGAAGAGACTATCGCAACTCTCTTTTCCTTCATCACAGCCCAAGGCTCCTCCGACTATCTCGGCGAGAAAGTCGCTCAGCTCGAACATTTGCTGCAAGCAGCCCACCTCCCACCTGCCCCCCCAAAAATAGGGCCCCACGACTTGTTTAGATCTTTGTATCGGTTAAAAATCCGCTAGTAATTTTACTAAAAAGCTCGGTTTCCGATTATTTAAGCCCGGGCCTTTTTTCACCTCTTTACTAAAGCTTATACTACTTAAGCTTCCTCCCGCCGCACTTCCTCGTGGGGCCGCAATT